TCTAGCCTTAGTGAACATAACAGATGGGTTTAATCCATAAAAATGAAAAACTTTCCCATTTCAATTCCATTTCCTGCCTGTCCAGGTAAAACAAAACCTTCCCTGAGGAAATGATGTAAATGCACTTAACATTCTTAAAAAATCCTACATAGCACAAAATATTGCTAGGAACTGAACCATGTTTCTTTTCATTTACATTTAAAAAGAATTATGAATGGGGTAGTGAAAAAAATATAGATAGGAGTTAGGAAAGGCTTTCCAATTCCAGCTTCATTGTGATTTCCTTCACGAAGCTTCAATTACCTTGTCTGTAAAATGGGACTGATAAAAATGCATGCCCTGTCTATCTTACAGAATTATTATGAAGAATCAAATTAAATGATATCTATAAAGACTCTTGCAATACTACAAAGGGTGACATAAATGTGCCCTGGTATTGTTACTACAAGGTCCCCTATGCCATCTTTCCTCAACAGTGTCAGTTTCTGCCCTTCTTCTTTGTGCCTGGCAGGCTGCACTCGATTCATTTCCTTTAGCACAGACACAAGTAATCTTCTGTTATTACAAGTGAAAGGAGGTTGGAAGCTACTGATTTTGGAGTAGACAACAATGGTCTTGCTCCAACAAACCTTCTGGGGAAATCCACAGGACACTCATCTCCTATCTTGCCCCACAATCTTTTTAAGACAGATAAAGAAAGAAGTGTGAGTCAAGGTCCCTGCAAAAACTGTAATTTCATCACCAGCATGGGTTTAAACTTTAACAGCTTTGGTATCCATCTGTCAAATGTCATTTGTTGGTTCCTAGTAGCTCAAACAAAAGAAAAAACACACATCCACTTCCTTCAATAAAATGTAAAAGTCTACAGTTTATATTTGTGCACTCAAGCCATACTAATTTATTCTACAATTACTTTTATTTTTTAGCATTTTTATTTGGCTCTTATACTACATAATTAATGGTGTTTACATGGAAAGGTTGTTTATGTAAATGGTCTAAGTGGATCACTGAGCAAGCTTTAAAACAAATAAACATTTTTCTCCTTTTAAAATTTACTTCACTGTTCTCTGAATGTCTGGCAGAAGAGCAGAGTTTTTAAAATGTCAAAGGGGACATAGGAATCAGACTTTTGAGATCCATTCTCCCCTGGTGAGTTGGGCTTATAATTCTGTTTCCTGTAATGGTTGGCCTGGGGGGAGTCAACAGCGACCCCACTGACCCAGCACATCCCAGACTCAGAAGCCTGTCTTTTCTTTGGGAGGTTGCCACTGTTTTTCTCCATGACCTTAAACATAACATAATATCTGGCCCTTACAGATCGTTTCCTGCAGAGTTTGCAGACCTGAGGATGGGACACTCATGAGATAAACATATATGCTCACTATAAAGACCAGAAATACACCAGGAAAGAAAACCTACCAAGTTTCTGAACACCTCCACCAAAACAATTGCATCACCTAATTGTGGCAATTACTGAGATTGTCCCTCCTAGTCAAAGTTCAAATTGCATGTTGTTTGAGTGGCAACACAGAGCCAAGTTACTGTAAAACAGAGCTGGCATGACAGTCACTACTTGCCAAGACATACATTATTTTTCTAAGGCATTCTGAAGGGAACATATTGACATCAAAGGCCATTTCTTTATTCCTGCTCTTCCAGAGGCAAAGCTAAGAGGGCAGGAGTGAAGATACCTTCCTCCACACCCACACAGGCCACCTTTCAGAGGCCTTAAGAGGGAAGCCTGGCTCCAGGACATCTCTGGAAGAATAGGTCATGTGTTCCCTAAAGTACCTTTGGAGTTATGTCAGGAGTTACAGATCAGACTGTGGCAGCAGGCTTTCTCTACACCAGGCTTCTGCCTCAGAGATGACCATTGAAAAACTCAACCCAGGTGAGTTCTGAACATTCTAGCACACAGAGATCCCTGCACCAGTCCTATCCAGATTGGTAGAGCATAGCCTAGAATTGCAGTCCAGACCTAGAGGAGGACATGTAAGTCAAATGCCTAATGACAAGCATGTTTTTTTCTTTCTTTGTTCATTTTTTGGGTTTTTTTTTTTTTTTCGGAGACATAGTTTCACTCTTGTCGCCCAGGATGGAGTCTCAGCTCACTGCAACCTCCGCCTCCTGGGTTCAAGCAATTCTTCTGCCTCAACCTCCTGAGCAGCTGGGACTACAGGCACCCATCACCACACCCAGTTAATTTTTGTATTTTTAGTAGAGACAGGGTTTCACCACGTTGGGCAGGATGGTCTCGAACTCCTGACCTCAGGTGATCCGCTCACCTTGGCCTCCCAAAATGGTGGGATTACAAGTGTAAGCCATCGCGCCTGGCAACAAGCATGTTTTGAATGAACAAAATTGTATGAGACCCATAACTGTCTTAAGACCTTCACATTCTTTTTTTTTTTTTTTTTTTTTTTTGAGACGGAGTCTCGCTCTGTCGCCCAGGCTGGAGTGCTGTGGCCGGATCTCAGCTCACTGCAAGCTCCGCCTCCCGGGTTTACGCCATTCTCCCGCCTCAGCCTCCCCAGTAGCTGGGACTACAGGCGCCCGCCACCTCACCCGGCTAGTTTTTTGTATTTTTAGTAGAGACAGGGTTTCACCGTGTTAGCCAGGATGGTCTCGATCTCCTGACCTCGTGATCCGCCCATCTCGGCCTCCCAAAGTGCTGGGATTACAGGCTTGAGCCACCGCGCCCGGCAAGACCTTCACATTCTTAAAACATTCTTTCACATCATTTGAAACATATTAAAAAGTATATACATTTCACATTTAATAATTTTTCTATAAAAGGACTTTTCAAATTTTGCTTGTGAAATTATTTGGCTAAAAGTTAAAATATAATTTCTCTACATTCATCACATATACTCAGGAACTCTCACTTGGTGAGAGCATCTCATCTAAAAACTGTTTTCCAATGTAATGAAGTTGTTATGAATGCTAAATCCAGCCATTAATGAAGCTGACACAGTGTTCGATTTTGTGATCATTTAATAAATGCTTATTAATTTTGCTATGACTGCCTTTTTTTTTTTTTGGTTTTGTAGACAATGATTTTTCCTGGCCAGACTCCAGATATTTTCCCAAGCAGAGCTCCTTTCCCCAGCACTGTAGGCCCTGGATCTAGAGGCTAAACTGGTCCTCTGAGCTCATGGCAGTCAGCCAGGCACTCCCAAAGAGGGTATCAACCATAGTGAGTTCTCAGGGATTCCCAGACATTCCACAGGACTCCCTCTAACCAAAACAATAATGGGGAGGCTCCGGGTCTTGTATTATCACTTACAAACCCAAGAAATTCTTACTGATGAAACTCAAATTCTGAAAATTTGTGAACTTTTGGCTCCTTAGAGAAATTTACTCACAACCAGTGCTAAAAGCCTTCATTGTTGGCCTTGGTGAATCCATTCTTTTCCTTCAGTGGGTGAAATCAGGTTTCATAAGTCCAAGTGATTTTATAAACCTTTGTCTTCCAACAATAAACGAGATTTGGAAGCTGATCTGGAGTTACATTTCTAGTAAGCTTTTCTGTCACTCCACAATATCTAAGATACTCATGCTCCACCAAGGTGTTTATAACTGGACCCCAGATCCCTTCTTTAAAGACATCCTATCAGCAACTGTTAGGTGGAGTGTGCTTTACCACTTGACTTTTTTTTTTCCAGAAAAACTAAGTCTTATCAGAGTGCATTAATTCAAAAATAATCATAGGTAGTCTGTTGACAGTCACAAAATTCCCTCTTTAGCCTATCAGAAAATGCTGAAGTGACAAAGAACTTGTAAATTCTACTATCTTAATGCGGCTTCCAGCAACATCACATAATCAGTGTGGTTTAAGGAATTCATTCCTGACCTTGGTTTTCTTTGTATCTTTTTTAAAATCACTGAGTACACACTGAATTTATAGTGGGAAGCTTAAGACATCAGACAGAATGAGATGGAATTCCAAATCTACCATTTTGTAGCTGTGAGAACTTCAGCAAGTTATTAAACCTTCATTTCTTCATCTGTAAAATGGTACTAATACTTAATTGCATTGTTCTCAGGATTAAACAGACTAATGAGTATAAAGCTTTTTGTGAGCAATCAATAAATGTTAGCTTTGAGTATTACTACAATTATTATCCATCATTTTCTCATTATTTACTATACCACCATTCAAGCCACCACACCTACAATCTGGACTGCTCAGTAGCTTCCTCACCTCCCTGCTTGTTCTACTCTTGCCTATCCTCAACCCTTCTCATCTACTTCCCAAAGCTGAGGGATCCTTTCAGAATGGAAAAGCAATCAATTCACCCCCTTCCCACATAAAACAGAAATGCCCCCAGCTACCCTTAGCACAAACCTGAAAGGCCCTGCATGGCCAGACTCTTGCTTACCCTCTCTAGCCTGTTGCCACCTCTCTCCCCCATTCCCTCTAAGCCTCAGTCATACTCATCAGTCTTCTGCATACAACCCATACTGCACACCCTCCACCAGACGCTTCCCACAGCCTGCAGAGCTCTGTCCTCAACCTACGCCCTTCAAATCCCAGCCCCAAAGCTACCTCTTCAACGAGATCCCACTCAGATCTTTTCTCATATTCCTTCCCTGCAAAGCACTCAGCTGAATAAACGCATTACCTATTTAATCAGGGATGATTTCCTAATGTCTGCTTTCCCACACGATTTTCAGTTTGCGGGAGGGTACGGCTGCCAGTTTTGCTCATCGCATTCCCCATAACCTAGTTCAGCCAAGACCTAGTGGGGGAGGAGAGTAAATATTAAATTAACGAGAGAATGCACGCATGCAGAGGGGTTAAAATGGCTCGGACTCCGCAGCCTCCAAGAGTTGGCTCCCGCACCTGAGGCTCGTTATTAAATGGTTCCTAAACATGCGGGGTCACTTTTCCGTGTTTTGTTTTTTAGTTTGGCCTTGGCTTGTGTGTTACTCTTCATGAGTAAAGGTTCAGGCGCCGCCATCCTCGAGAGCGTAGGCGGGACCCCATCTGAGAGCCCAGCCGGCAGTGTTGCAGGCGTGGAGCGGAAGTGCGGGGAGCGGGGCCGGCGCCTGGCGGGTGAGGGCGGAAGTGCCCGGCGCAGGGCGGAAGCAGAGACGTTGGCGGCGTGAGGCTCAGGTGGGTGCCTTTAGCCCCACGCCGAGGGTGGGCGTTCGCAGGTCTCGGGCTCTCAGCCTACGCGCAGGCTGGCGGGGGTTCGCTGTGCCGCATGCTGCCAATTTAGATTGTCGTTAGAGGGAATTTAATTAAACCGGGAGCCATAAATCCATGAACCACCCGAGGGGAGATTATAAACGCGTGTGCGTGTGTCTGTGATGGCGCTCTGGGAAGTAAAGAAATGACGGGCGGGAAAAGGAAGCTTTTTTTTTTTAAGAGAAAGCCGAAAACATCTCAACTTCATACTCTTCCGGTGATTCACAGATGCCCCGTCCTGGGTTTAATTGAATTCTATGAAGTGGTAGTGTAATCACACTTGGGAGCCCGCTGAGCAGACTGCCTTTTTAAATAAATATTTTTGAGCAGCCATGTTGACCTTTAATTGGGGTGAAAAGGTTGAAAGGTGCAGCAGGGAACATTGTGAGTGCCGGGGCTCTCTGCATCAGCTGTCTGGATCTCCTCTCAGCCTTATTGGGCAAAAGCAACCCTCTGGGTACTGAACAGTGAGAGAATAAATCAGAGACTACATTCTCAACAAATATTCACTTCTGACAAATAGCAGCTCATACAGTTTCTTAAGTCCAAGGGTAGAAAAGTCCCCACTAAAATGTCATTGTCAGTTAAGACTTGTGACTGTCTCTAACGCTGTCTTTAACAAGGAGTGTTTTGCTTGGGTGATCTTTATTCTTGTTTATTAATAAATAGTGTGTATGTGGTACTTTACATTTTAGTGCCCTTAAAAAAAAATCCATAGTATGGCCTTAGCTTGACCCCAAGATTCTCAATTCCTCAAGGACAGGGATAGTGTCTAAGATCTGTTATATCCCAATACTTTCTAGCGCATTTCCCAGCATTAGTATACATTGCCTTGTTTAAGCAGCCACTAGAGCTGTGCCTTGGTGCACAACGCTGAACAAGCTGAGGTGCCTATTAGAGGCCACAGTCTTCTCATTTGGTCATATTCTGAGGACTAGCTTATAAAAATGCATGTGAAGCGCTCTACCAATATTTGGAGCTGTATACATTGAGGTACATTATAGGTAAATAGCAGAAAGATTTAAAACACTGGGAAAAAAGATACACCCTGGAAATACTGGATAATTATAATACTGGGGCAAAGCAGAACTAATCATGGTTCTATGTGAAATATTGTAGCCCAAAAACCTGGGTCCTGCTCTACTGAGGAATTGCCTGGAACCAGAAAGGCCCTGTTGTGAAAATTAAAATTGGTGGGGCTGGTGCTTTAAACAGGCAGGATCCTCAGATTGTCTTTCTTCCCTGCTGCTGTGGCAGCAATAGCCACATGCCAAGGAAGGATCAATATTTTTTTGTCTCCTTCATCAGAGGAATATGTGACTGTGTGGTTTTATTTAGATGGACTGTTGGCAGGTAAGTAATAGAAACGAGGATTTTTCCAACTTCGGAATTGATTGGACTGTGTTTCTATTTTGTTCCAGATGCCTGGCTCTAAAGTACCCAGAGGCACTGTGAGAAATCCCTTTAAAATAGGTTATTTTTTATTATTGAAGTTTTTTATTTCATAACTTGTATATACTCTAGCTGGCTGATGTATTCAGTTACTCTAATGCTAGGGTTTCGGGTTTCCCACATAGCAGGACCTTGAGGTGATCTGGTACAAGTAGTGAGGTGATTTTATGTTCCTTATTTAAATCTAATTTTTGCTACTGCTTTATTCAAGGAGTATACATCAGAGGAAGCCAAAAGCCAGCTGGAATAGTTCCTGAATACAGTTTTAATCTTGTTTGCAATTATTTCAAAGGGGAGAAATCATCTGGATCAGGTATGTGTAACTACACAGCCGGGACTAGGTGAGCTTCCTCTATCCTTCCCCTAGTATTGCATAACTAATTCTAGGGACAAAATCATTTGGGGAAGAAAATTCAAGTGAAAAGTTTTGGCTAAGTTTAGCATAGATATGATTCCACATCCCTAACTTCCCATCCCAGTACAGCCACGGAGAACAGGAAACATGAAAATGTTACTCTCTTTTTATTCCAATCCTTACCAAAGTTAAAGTTTCTAGAGATGGAGGCAAACTGAAAGTACCTACCTACTATTTTTAGAAAGTATCCATCTCCAAGCATATCAGACCATTTCACCAGTAATATCCAGTAACAGCCTTTTTACTGTTATAGCCTTCATCACTGTGGTATTGTGTTGTTTGTGAGTCTTTCTCCTGCTCAAGGTGTGAGTTCCTTAAGGGCAGGGACAATATCTTAATCACTCTTATATTTCCAATACATGGCACAGCACCTGGCACATTGCAAATGCTCAGTACAAGCTGTAGAAATGAAAATATAGTGTCCCTGAAGGGAGGTTGGATCTATAAAAAGTATGAAACACTGGGAATGTAACAAGATAGAGAAAAGAATATAAAGCAGTAACCTCCTTTCAGATTGTTACTAGAGACAGAAGTAATGCTTTAATAAACAGCTTGGAGCAGGGAAGAGTGTATTTGGGAATCCATTAGATGCTCCTCAAACTGCCTTCCAAGGAGATCTGACCTGGTCAGTTGTGGGTCCTTTGTTGTTTAGAATATGCAAGCTGAAATCTTCCGCCAATCCTGTCTCCACACTCTCTCCAGGTCTGCCATGCAATGCCTCACCCAAACACCTGTTTGGCAAATATTTGAAGGGTATCTGCTTGAAAGTGTGCCAAATTATTAGCTTATGTAGGGCACCAGTATCTTGGTTTGGTCTTGCCTTAAGCTTAGAGAACCTCTGTAGAGTCACTATCCTAAGTCTGGTCACTATTTTAAGTCTAGGTTGCCCAAATAATATTGAAGGAAATCCACGCTTGTCTTGTCTACTTTACTAACAACATTTCAGAGCAGTTCAAAGTTGACAGCTTTTTGTGTTGTAATAGGACAGTGGTGGTATATGCTGATGCCTTCTGTTGCCAATGGGATTGCAGCAGAAATCACATTGTTACAACTGGAAACAAATGAATTTACTCTCGTTGTTCCAGTGCTTTTTCATGTTAATCATGAAATAATGGGGAAATGATTTTTAGTCAGGAGGGAAGGACATGACGTTGAATTATTTGATTTTTTTAAAACTCATTGTTTCTTAAAACACATAGTCCTTCCATCCAGTGAAGAAAAATGATACTATTATTTAATAGAAAACTCAGTAAATTCAGCCATTTTTCCAGGTTCAAAAATAAAATGAATGTGAATCTTTTTCGATTTAGAGAACAGAGCCTAATTCTTATGGTAAAAGAATTCTGTCTGAAACTGAGACTTTCCTCATTCTCTCCATCCTTAAATTAAGCCTTATACAAAATGAAGTATCTGTTAATTGGTATACCCTGAGGATTAATATGAAAAGTGTTTTGAGATTTTTTTGGAAGAAAGACGGTTGAACTTGGAGATCCCTTCTAGTTCTGAAATTCTGTGTTGATCTCATTATATATAAAAATATGCCATTGTTCCAGGAGAAAATATAGAGAAATGAACTAAAAAATGTAGTATTTTTTAAGCATTAGTTTGCTTATACATAAAGCAAGAGGAATCTCCAAAGTCACTTCCAGTTCCAAAACATTAAAAAATTCTATCAATGATAGCTATTAAAAAACAGAATAGACTCAAAAGATTGTAGAATCCCGCATAACTGAGGGATGCCACAGCCTAACATCAAGCAAGAGTAGATGGCTCCCAACATTCAGACTGAACACTATTTCTACAGGCCTGGGTCTTAACTGTTATCACAAGTCCAGGGAAATGCTGGATTTAGCAATTCAATGTCCAAAGTCACTTGCTACAAAATGGCTAGCAATGAATGAAACGTCTTTTAGGTTTTGTGGGGGCACAAAGATAACTTCACCTCTTTGACAAGATAAATTGAAAGTGGTTGGAATTTTAGGGACAAAGAGAAGACATTGCCTGGGTGGATGGTTTTTGAATTGCAAACAGTTGTTTTTGGAAATGGGATTATGTGCTTTTTAAATAGCAGGGAAACTTGCATTACTAGCTGGGTGCAGTAAGACTAAGATGTTTAATGGAATTGTCTTCTTTCTAGGTCAGTACTAAGTATAAGAGATATCTTCAAAGGGAATGGGTCATGTTGGTTAAGAAGGATAACGTGGAAAGGAGTCTGCATAATTCCTTATATACTTTGTTCCCATCCCTTGAACTAGAATGATTTTGCCCTCATCTTAATGCTATCTTTATGGAATGAAGGAATTTTCAAATTGGTTTTTAAACTCTATTAAGTCCTCATGTATGATATAACCCAACCACATTATTCAGGTTTTCTTGGCTTTCAGGAACAGCTTTGCAGCCATTATGTCATAATTGAACCGAACGTTGTTGCACATTCTGAATTTGGAATATGCTGCTCTGGCTCCAGGCCAGTTGCTGAGTCAGTATCTTTGGAGTTGAGGATGGAGGGGAGGGGTGTAGTGTGTACAAACCCATTGTGTTAACAGGAATTAGTCCAGAATTCTCTTTGGACTCTTGGGAACTAGAGGGGTTATATGGTGAGTGTACATTACTGTTCTTGATTAGCATCATTATTTTATTTTCTTAGCTGAGTGTTTGGAAACTCTTCCCTGATATTGTCATGTGCACCAACCCCATTACTGAGTAGACTCCTCTGAAACAATGATCTGGAAAGTGTGACTGCTAAGATCTAAAGATTCTAAAACAAAATCTTGCTTATACTGAAGACTCCTCTTCCCTTCCACTTTACATTTGTCAGCTTGCCACCGCTGAGGCAAAGATAGCAGTGCTTCTGGATGGGAAAGAGAATGCCAAGATGAAGAGGATCTTTCATTTAAAATCATCTTTAAAATGTGTTTAATAGAAAGAGAAATTCATTATTTTCTCTTTGTAGGGGGAGTTCCATCTTGGATACTTAGACAATTGCAAGATGAGTGCCCTAGTGTCACCTTCCCCATTTTCCAACTTGGTTCCTTCTGACACCAGCACTTACCAGTTATGATTGAGGAGTGAGAAAAGAGAGTCTGCAATGAACAAGTACCTTTAAACTTCTGCCTGGACCTGTAAGTGAATTTGAGTCCTCTTTAAGGGTCTATTTTAGGCTCTTATGGGTAAAAACTACTTTGGATTTTTTTATTCCAGGCCTTATTTAGTCATAGCCTATTCCCATGGCATTTGTTTAGCATGGGATTTCCCCTTCTCTGATCAGGAGAATGCTTGAGGCCCAAAGCCCCAGGCACAGTTCCTTTGGGTTTCTAAAATGAGAGAATGGGACAAGTGGTAGCATTTCCATTTAATTGTGGATGAAACTGAGGCTTTAGGAGATGAGGATTTACCTCTCTCTTTGGGGTTTATGTTTATGAAATCCTCACCTAAAAATGAACACAGGGAATTCAAACATGCTGAATTTCAACAGAAACTCTATATGAAGAATAACTTCAAAGCTCAAAATGAAGAATGATACCATTTATGCTTAATTCCCCTGACTGATTAGTTAGTAGGAGCTGTGTTGGTTTAAATTTATTTTGACCTCTCTAGACAATTTACTCAGAACCACTTGGAACAAGTTTTGTCTTTAAAGATTGTGAATAAAATCCACCTTTACAATTACCTAGGCGGCTTCTTTTTTGATGTACATGAATTGAGGATATCCTTGGTAAAACAATAATAGTACTGAATTTTTCCCTGTTTGAGAAATAAAAACAAATATTAGGGAAAAGCAACTGGAAGGGAACTGGCCTGTGCTTAAAACCCATCAAGGGGAAACCTTGATTTCTCAAAATCTAAATTTCAGTACCTTCATAATTTTGTGAAGGCTGAGTAAGTTTAAGCCGATACCTGGTGCCAAGGTATTTGCTAGTCAGTCTTACCTAGATTAGTGGCATACTTAGGTGCAGATAAATATGTTGAATCTTTAAACAGTCTTATCTTAGAAATTCCTGTTTAAATAGTATTTGTGAGAAAACTTTCAGTTATTTCTATTTGAAATTTTTTTCAGTTTTGCAATTCCCTATTTCTGAGACTGCTGTTAATAGAGATTTAAATCTTTCATTTGAGGCCAGTAAAAGCACATTTCAGTCAATAGAATCATTATTATTAATAGTGATCTCTTAGTATTATTTAGTAATCAGTACTTAAGCTTTACTTTTCTATTCTGCTTTATAACTTACACGGAGATTTTTACCTTGATCATCTCTTTTTAAGATACCCAGTCAACATTTGCCTTCACTCTTCCCACCCTCCCCACTCCATCCTCTCCAGAAAGATCTCCTTTTAGTTAAGATGTTAAATTGGGTAAGAACCACTTAAGGTATTTCATTTTACGGGTAGCATTGGTTGAAAGATTTCATTCCTTTGAAGCAATCATTAGATGCATCTCTTCTGATTTGTGGTAGATTGTTTCACTGTCCCTATTCTAGTCAAGCCGTCATCAGTCTCCTTGACAATGGACAATTCTTTCATTCTGTAAACGCTTTCTCATTGACTTCTGTAATGACACACTTTTCAGGTTTTCCTCCTACCTCACCAGCTGTTCTGTCTGCCTCCTTTGCTGGTTCCTCTCGATCCAACCTCTAAATGTTGAATTGCTTGAGAGATCTATCCTCGGCCCTCATTTTTTTTCTGTACAATTTTAGATGATTTCACCCAGTTTCGTAGCTGTAAATATAATCCTTAAACTGATGGAGACTCAAGTCTTTATCTTTAGACCTGGACTTTTTTCCTGAGTATCAAACCTGTGTATGTCATTCTCTATGTGAGTTCTAACATGTCCCTAACCAATCTCTTGGTCTGACATATTCTTCAATCTGTTCTTGCCTCAGTTTTTCTTATTTTGGTAACAGGCCCTGCCACCCACTTAGAGGCTCGGGACCAAAACTGAGATTGTCCTTAACGCCCTCTTTTCTTTAATTCCTCATGTCCAATTCATTGGCAAGTCCTGTTGACTCTATTTCTGCCCTAGTCCATACCATCCCGTCTCATCCAAACTATTGCAGTAGCCTTCTACCTGCATCCCTGCTCCACTCTTGCCCTGCAACAATCTGTTCTTCAAACATATGAGATCATGTCACTTCCCTCCTGTAAATCTAATTGTACTTAGAATAAAATCTCAATTCTTTAACATAACCCGCAAGGCCTACATGATCTGACCCCTGCTTACTGTGGGTTAACCTCATCTCCTGATTGTATCCCCTTTTCCTTGTTGTACTCTGCTTAAGCCGTATGATCTTTTCTGTTTCTTTCAATAAATCATTTGTCCTCACTTACAGGCTTTTGCATATACTCCTTCCTCTCCAGCGCAAACAACACCTGCTCAGAGAATACCTTAATTAAAGAACCTGCCTCAGTCAGCATCACATCACTCTGCTATTATCTCTCCCCTGTACGTATCACCATCTCAAGTGGCCTGACATTAAAGAGTCTCTTCACTAGCACACGGACCCCATGACGGCAACGTACCTTACTTTCTTGTTCATCACCATACCCCAGCACCTATAATAGTATCTGATACATGAAAAATATTGGATAATTTTTGAATAAATAAATGCATCCCACACCTAGATTTTCATAACTGACTTCTCTTTCCCACCTCCATTCTCCTTTTCTTGACAGTCTTTTCTGCCTGCTGCTGCCAGATTAATCTTTCAAAACACTGATTTTATCACATCACTCATTCAGAACCCTTCAGTGGTTCCCAAGACATACACAACACAGCACACATACCACCATTAAAATCCTCCACAGGCTCATCCTAGTCCACCTTCAAAGCTTATTTTCCACTATTATTCAGCAGAAGTCTCTTTACCCTGCTCAAGGTTTCCCCCATCAAATAGCCATGGCATTCCTATGTCCATTACCTTTGTGTCTAACCCTGGATTTGGAAAGCTTTCTCTTTTTTCTACATATCCAAATCCTAAATGAAATGATTTAAGATACTTCTCTTGTGAAACCACCTCCAATTTTAGCCTATAATACTCTTCTTTCCCAGTCTCTTACAACATTTGAATTATATGGCCCTGTTACAGTATTTCCTGTATTTCTAATTTACCTGCACATACACATGTCTTAACTTCTGACCAGATTTTTCATGGGTTGGGATCAACTCTTATTCATTTTTAACCCATTTTCCATCCCCACTGTGGAACTAATGAGTGAATGATATCATTGGTTCACTAATCACTGTGAAACCTGACATAAAACTTATTGTTTTAGTTAAGAATTCGACACCTTTCTCCTGAATCTGTACGACTGAAATACATCTTGTTAGTCTTGTTACTTGTATCAAACATGTGGAGTTGATTACTCCATCTGAGAGCTTTATTTAGAGGTGAAAAAATGAGCTAAACACCAGGCAGGATAAAATAAAAAATTAATGGCTTAATGTTACTGAGAACTAGAAGGGTGAAGGGGATGCGCATCTACTAAGTGAAGGATATGTAAATGCTGTATACCTTCAGTGAAATTGCAATCTTAGGCAAGGCCCACACTTCAAATAGCTAAAGAATGTTTTCACTGAGCACTGTGTTGAATACAAATTAATGTAGCACCCATTGAGTCCAAACAGTGGAATAGCGACATCTAGATACTTAGAAATTGTCATGGTCATAATTTGAAGGGAAATAAAGAGTTTCTGTCCCAGGCACTCATGTGACCAATCCTTTCTGGAGACTGATTCTCTGCTGGCTTCTCTCATCCCCTGTGTGGTAAACCTGTTGACACTGAAATCTGGAAGTAGAAGCTGCATAGAGGGAGTGGTATGAGGAGCTGCATCTCAGTCCCCAGGGCTGGGCCATAATGTAGGCCTATTCATAGTTTAATGTGTTGTGTGGAAGCAAATCTGCAGTCCAAACTGTGTAGTCAGAATGAAGCTGAGCGTGACACCACGTACAGTCGGGCCCACAGGAGGGTGGTTAGCTCAGTATCTCTGTTGCAATATTTTGTTTGAGTTGGCTGTGCCTCCTTAATACTTCCCCCTGGCCAGGTACCCTGGCCGCTAAGGCTGAGACACTAGAAAAGCACCTCTGATCTCATGTATGCCAGTGAGTTAGAGCCGCACTCCAGATTGGGCCTTCTACTCCCCACTCCCTGTTTCCGTTCAAAAGCCTCATTTTCCCTCTGTGTAGCCCCTTGGAATTGACACATCAAAGTATTTACTCAATTTTCAGTTTTGGTTTTGTCCCTATGTGGTGCCTCTTCTTGTCTCTCTTGGCTCCACAAGAGTCATTTTCTCTCTTGCCCTTGCACCCAAGATCCCAGGCTAGGTTCCCACTTGTTTGGGAGAGTGGGAGGTTTGGACACAGATGACTGACCAAAAGCACACAGGCACACTGGGGAGGCATCAATTGTCCTTGTTTCGCTGGACTGGTAGAGCCCAGTGACCCAGATGTGTCCCCTAAGAGCAACCTCACCTCATTACATAAACTTCCAGTAATCTAAAATAATGTTTTTGTTCCCAGAAGAGGTGTGTGTGTGTCTGTACATGTTTCTAGTCATTTGGGTAAAAATAGGAATGTTATACTTAGATGGTAATAAATGTGAAATAGAGCACTTAACTTCTCACATGGCACAAATGACTGAACAGAAGCCCTGAGTCTTCTTTAGGGAACATAGGTTCAGTGAGAGCTACAGTAATAGTGTTTAGTTAATGTCAGCTCAGCATTAAATTTACATTATACTCTTGTGAAGAAGCTCCAACATTATCTGTTGAATAACCAAGGCGGTACCTGGGCTGATGCAGACTTTTTGATTTTGCACATGAACTAACACTGCAGCTTGCTGATGAGGGATCACATGAGCTTGAAAATTTGGTGTGCCAAAAGATTCTTTGTATGAATAAAAATTCTGGTCAGTGAAGGTCAGTTTCTCTCCTCAAGCAAGAATAATGTTGTTTCCCTTCTAATCAGACACACACAGTGTTTGAAGAATCCAGGAGCTCCATGCAAGCGATGTGCAGCCATAGCCTGGGCAGCTCCTCATGCACGAAACGAATAATCTTTAATAAAGACTCAAACGACCCTGGCTTCTTTTTGTACTATAATCAGTTGCCTTAATGGTGTGCCCTTCAGTGCCTTGCAGGGAAAATACTATAAAGTTATTTTTCTTATCTTGCTTCAAGGAGGGCTGAATTGGTCCAGTCAGTCCTCCTCCCATGTTGTATTTGACTCTGCCATAAAGACCACTGAAATCAACCTCAGTTTTATTGAAAGGCCAGCATTCCCTTTCTCTTTCAGGGTGATCCGTGCCTCTGAGGGGCACTGGACTTGAAACAGCAGGAGTCACCATCTTTATTGTTAGGCTGTGGAATTTGTTTTAAGCACATTCTAAATCCAGTCTTATGTCTTTTGCTTTTTTTTTTTAAGTCTGTGACAAAGGTGACCCAATTGTGCTGCTTTGATATTGTGAACAGAGCTCTTTTTGCTCATATCATAGAGGCATATAACAAAATACGAAGGATAAAATCGTGTCTCTGTGTGTAGTAAGGACACATATTTCATGACTAAATTCAATGACATAATCAAAAAAGTGTTGTCCTCTGACAGTCATGAGCTAACAGGCAGAGACCACGTTTCAGGATATTTTTTATAGTGCTGAGATACTGTTCAAAAATAATAGAACTAATGAAAATGTCACATTGACAGAGTAGCCCATATTAAGATTTTACTTCAAGAAGGCATGATTTGGTGAATGTGACATTGACAGCAATGGTGTTAGGGTTTACAGAGTTAGTAAAATATTCTAAGAAGTTCCCATTGAAGTATATCATTTTTCATTTTATTTTTTCTTTTCTAGGATTAAGTAAATGCCAGAAATTAAGGAATTTTAGCGTACTACCTGCCTAGAAGAGGTTTAGTGAGCTTTTTCTTTCTGTCAGACTCTAATTTTATAATACAGTGCTTCTAAAGATATAAGTTAATTTAACAGTACGATAAAATGCATATACCTTAAGAGTATTTGAAGAATATGCAGGTAGTAAAATTGCATAATATGGATGCATTTCTCAGTAAAAAGATGTGCCATGTTTAAACAATTTAAAATGTGTAAAAAAGTAGAAATGGAGAGTAACAGTGGAAAAAAGAACTAGTTACAGACAGAATGGTTGTAGCATCACTGAAAACTTTACTTAGCTGTGTAGATTGGTTGAACAAATACTCCAGCAAATCTGGAATGAATAGCAACTCTGCTTACTATGACAGGTTTTATTTGTCTTGGGTGCAACCAAGACCACATGCTGTGTTTTGTCATGTTGGAAAAACTGAAGCAGATTTCCGTTGTGAATTTGAAGTTTTTAAAGAAGCCTTAATACCTCAGTCTCAGCTCAGCCAGGTAAAAGCAATGTTTTCCTTTTCTTTTCAGCTAGACATCAATAAATCTTAAATCCCTTCACCAACAGCATGTAGCTGCAGTTCACTGCCCTGGTCGTAGTCAGGTCACCACCACAGATGGCCTAATCCTTCTCATTTCCAGGGACCTTTAATAAAACTATTTTTTCTTAAATAAAGTTAATTCTTCTGCCTTTAATAAAGCTAATTTTTAATTTTCTTTCTTCTAGAAGGGCGTGCCACCATTAGCATAGAGACTTTCCAAATCCCATGATGTATAAGTTTCTACCTAGAGTAAATATAGCTAACAATTCTGTACCTCCTCTCCACTTTTATAGCCTGTGTAGACAAAGCTGTGTTTAGAAGATATGTCTCCAACTACATTTACCTATTGGAAAATTGTTTATTCTGCTGAATCTATAGAAATATGTATATACCAGTAATTAACACTTCATTGAGAGTAGCACAGAATGTTATGAAATTGTTTAGATCCACTTTTTACCTTGGAACAACTGGTAAGCAGATCCTTGCAAAATTCTCATCATATTCCTTTTTTATGCATTTATCAGGATCATTTAGATGGCAGAGAGATCCAAGTAGAAGTGGAAGAGTAAGGGCTGAAGAATAAGGGAATGATCATTGTTTTCATGGATCAGTATCCGGTCTTTTTGTTCTGTGGTCTTTATTCTAGCGTGATATGGGTTGGTGGTTTTCTCTAAAGTTATATCATTCTGTTTGAAATGAGTTTAAGGCTAATCTTACACTGAGGAGCCTGGTCTCCAGTGAAGATTAACATTTAATTAATATAGTCATGCTCTGTGGAGCAGAGGAGGGCAAGGTTTGAGGTGGTGGTGAAGGGGTTAGAACCAGCAGCAGTACCTCAGCTCAAAATTTTGTGGGTACCCTGAGGAGCACTGATCTTTATTATTTAGAATAGGCCCAAATAGTGACTGCTGTACATACTGAGTATCTAATCAGGGTTAGAGGTAAGATTAAAGAAGGTGAGAAAAGCTCACTTTAATACTTTTAACATCCAAATAAATATTTGAGCACCAATTATGTGCCAGGTTAATTGTGGGTACTTAGAGATACGGGGGTGAACAAGTACCTGTTCTTATAGAACTTGCATTGTAGTGGAGGGGATATAAATAATTTTAGATAGTAAAGGGCAAAAGAAAACTACAGCAAGGTGTGAGGGTGGGGAGTGATGGGCTAACATTGGTAAGTTAGTCACTAAGACCTCCAAGGCAATGACATGAGTCCCAGGCCAAATGAGGAGAAGCTACTTCAGAGCCTTTCATGCATAAGTAAAGCAAGTGCAAAACGAGGAAGAAATTATATTGGGTATTCAAGGAACAGAAAGAGAAACTTTACAGTTGCAACTTGCCAAGGCAAGGGAGGGGAAAGTGATAGATGGAGTTGCAGAGATACAGTAAAGCAAAGTTTAAAAATTATGATCTCAGGAATTAGTTCATCCTGGGAATACTGATGAATGACAATGCCAACAGTGCACATGTGTTTTTAAAGTGAAATTATAATATTTACAGTTTTAAGGACAAAGCTGGAGACAGTAGAATAACTAGGAATAAACAGAATGATTGTAGCATCACAGAGGACTTATGTCTTATGTTGAGCAAAGTAGCAGGATGAGGAAGCTTCAAAGCCTAGTGTTTGGGATGCTGCGATCACCAAGCTGTTCTTACTGGAATACCTCCAGTAGAAACACAAGTACATTTGTGTATAAGGTTTCCAAAAGTTATGATAATCTCCTTTTAAAATACTTCTTAAGGAGTTGAGTAGATTTTTTTTTTCTGACAAGGTAACTCAGCCTGATTCTCTCCTATAGTTCCTGTAAGTATAGCTTTGTGTTTTTTGTTTTTGGTTTTGGTTTTTTGAGATGGAGTTTTGCTCTTGTTGCCCAGGCTGGAGTGCAATGGCGCAATCTTGGCTCATCGCAATCTCCGCCGCCCAGGTTCAAGTGGTTCTCCTGCCTCAGGTCCCGAGTAGCTGGGATTACGGGCTCCCGCCACCATGCCCAGCTAGTTTGTATTTTTAGTAGAAATAGGGTTTCTCCATATTGGTCAGGCTGGTCTCAAACTCCTGACCTCAGGTGATGCCTCGGCCTCCCAAAGTGCTGCTATTACAGGCGTGAGCCACCACGCCCAACCACCTTTGTGTTTTCTTATGTCTTACAGTGGAGAAGCATAGGTCTCATAAGGGATAGTCTGAACCTTTGCCTGGGTACTTATGCTGCCTACCCATTGTTTCTTTTTCTTTTTCTTTTCTTTTCTTTTTTCTTTTTCTTTTTTTTTTTTTTTTTTTTTTTGAGATAAGATATCATGCCCATCGCCCAGACTGGAGTGCAGTGGTGCAATCATGGCTCACTACAGCCCCAACTTCCCAGGCTCAGGTGATTTTCCCACCTCAGCCTCCTGAGTAGCTGGGACTACAGGTGTACACCACAACACCCAGCTAATTTTTTGTATTTTTAGTAGAGATAGGGTTTTGCCATGTTGCCCAGGCTGGTCTCAAACTCCTGGGCTCAAGTCATCTGCCCATTTTGGCCTCCCAAAGTGCTGGGATTACAGGTGTAAGCCATGGCACCTGGCCCTCATTGTTTTCTTTACCATGACAGTGGCTAGGTGTTATTGAATGCTTGCCAGTATAATAAGGTATCCATGAGAATAAAAACCATCTCAGGAAACGTCCTCATTTTAGGGGATCATCAAGATGCTGGCAAAATCTGCAGATGAAATTTTGTATTCAAATTAACAAACCCGTGCAGTTTACTTACAGAAACCAAGTGATTAGGCACACAGCTAATTCATAACAAGGGGTTTTTTTCTATTCTAAATTCTGTTTTGTTTGGAATACAATGAACGTTGAGACGTCAGAGAGACTTGCCAAATTTCTAGGTCTTTCCAGCACTCCTGGACTTGAAGAAACACTTCTAAAGCCTGCAAATTCCATCATAAGCTTGCAAATTACTGTTCATATTGTAAGGAACAATTCTAGGGCACATAAGTTTACTGCTTTATTTTTCTTTTGGCAGAATTAAGATGCTCTGGTTGCAAGGAAATAGCATGCCGCTTGCCAGATCCGCCTTTGGACTCTTCCTGAGAAATTGCTCTGCCTCTAAGACAACTCTGCCTGTGCTGACCTTATTCACAAAGGTACAAAGTGAAAAAGTAAAATTGTTGGGTGAAGAAAGTTGTACATTTAAGAAAAGGGGCCGGGCGCGGTGGCTCAAGCCTGTAATCCCAGCACTTTGGGAGGCCGAGACGGGCGGATCACGAGGTCAGGAGATCGAGACCATCCTGGCTAACACGGTGAAACCCCGTCTCTACTAAAAAATACAAAAAAAAAAACTAGCCGGGCGAGGTGGCGGGCGCCTGTAGTCCCGGCTACTCGGGAGGCTGAGGCAGGAGAATGGCGGGAACCCGGGAGGCGGAGCTTGCAGTGAGCTGAGATCCGGCCACAGCACTCCAGCCTGGGTGACAGAGCGAGACTCCGTCTCAAAAAAAAAAGAAAAGGGGACAAAGTTGAAAGGAAAGGCAATGGAATAAACTTTCTTCAGACCTGCTCTTCAATTTCTCTATCAGCACAACAGCAGCAACTCAGTTTTCTACCCAGATGCCTTATTATCTCCCAATTATCAGAGGGTAAATTCATGAATTTAATGGTCATCTGGCCCCTACATTGAAAAAAATGACATAAAGGTTATAATATGATGTTTAAAAATGTATCATTTAGAAATGCAATCAGTTATCTTTATTTGTGGTAATTATGTTCTATAAAGTCACCTTGAACCCTGAATTAGTGAATATTGAACCATTGCTCCTAGGGGAAATACACAGGTTCCTATGAGTCTCTGGTCATATTTTCATCAGCCTACCAAATACAGAACCTTATTTTATGTGTGATTCTGTTTAAAGATACTTTATTTTTACATATGCACCATGGAATACTATGCAGCCATAAAATAGATGAAATCATGTCTTTGCAGCAACATGGATGCAGTTAGAGGCCATTATCCTAAGCAAATTAACACAGGAACAGAAAACCAAATACCGCATGTTCTCACTTATAAGTGGGAGCTAAACATTGAGTACACATGGACACAAAGAGGGGAATGATAGACACTGGGGCCTACTTGAGGGTAGAGGGTGAGGATCGAAAAACTACCTATCAGGTGTATGCTTACTACCTGGGTGACGAAATCATTTATACACCAAATCCCAGTGGCATGCAATTTACCTATGTGACAAACCTGCACATGTACCCCCAAACCTAAAATAAAAGTTGAGAAAAAAATTGTTTTAATAAAGATACCTTATTTAATATATATTGTTGATTCATTAACACTCAACTCACAGCCAATAGCAACTGTGTATAACTCATGCCTAAATGAAGCTTATCGAACACATGTATTTTCTCCATAAGGCACATCACAGTCTTCTTGTGCTTAGGAACACTCGCCAGCACTTCAGCACTATGTCTGGGGGCTTATTTAAACAGTGAAATCATCAATGAAAAGCACAAAAATGCAAAAATCCTGGCACTATTCAGACGATGAAAAGGACACTAGCTTCCATTTGCAGTATGAGAGCTAAAACAAGAAGGCAGAGCATCACCTTGTTTGACCTCAGCATAGAATGAGTGCTTCGGGTGACTGAAATCTCTCACCACTCTATGCATGTGCATGTCTGTGAATACCTGCAAAAGCACTTCAAGTATTGATTTGGGGGTTGCAAAGAAGTTTTAGCAATTAGGCAAATTCATAAATATGGAATCCATAAATAATGAGGACTGATTGTACTTGTTTTCTTATCCCTAATACTAGTTTTAAGCCATAAAGCTAGTTTTAAAATGTTTAACAGCTTTGTCTCCCTGAAATTATAATACAGATATTACTGATTTCCTTTTTTGCTAATTAACATCACTTTGTGTGACTTAACAAAAAAGAAATAAAGTGCAGATTAATAGAAGTAACTTTGGTGAATAATACTGCAATTCAAACAAAGATCTCTTTTCAATAGGTTTTTGAGATTTCAGGCATTTTAGCAATTTGGATATATATGACAGTTACCTAATAATGAAGTTTAATGAGTTTTAAAAATGAATTTATTGATGAAAATATTTAATCTAAACTACTTTTTATATCTGTAAGCATATATTGCACTGTTGGAAATTATGGAACCAAAAATATTTCATCATCTGAGAGTCTATGATGGGAAACCCATGTGCAAACCACAGAAGTTAAATAATCCCTTAAGGCTGGTGTTGCTCACTCAGCCTAACAGTTCTGTACTGTTCTTCAGTTTGGGCAGCAGCTGATATAGCCAAAAACATTTATTAAAAACAAAACAAAAAAACACACCAATTTCCATTCAACTTAGTATTTATACTTAATGCTTATTCTGTACCATTAGGCACATAAGAAGATGGCACTCCCACCTTTGGCAGCTTATAATCCAGTGAAGTAAATGCTTAAAAGTATAGTATCAGATTGCTATCGGTTATGAAAAATAGAACGTACTTCCTAGAGTGAGTTAAACAAAAAGATTTTGGAGTTGGTCTGGTTTCAGGAACATCTTGATTTAGGAACTAAACATGTTAACAATCTCTTCAGCTTTGCATCCTCGGAGTTAAATCCCTCTTTGGTTCCTCTCATGTGATATGGTTTGGCTCTGTGTCCCCACCCAAATCTCATCTTATGATCCCATAATTCCCACATGTTGTGGGAGGGACCTGGTGGGAAGTGATTGACTTATGGGGGCGAGTCTTTCCTGTGCTGTTCTTGTGATAGTGAATGGGTCTCATGAGATCTGATGGTTTTGAAAACGGCAGTTTCTCAGCACAAGCTCTATCTTTGCCTGCTGCCATCCATGTAAGATGTGACTTGCTCCTCCTTGCCTTCCGCCATCATTGTGAGGCCTCCCCCGCCATGTGGAACTGTAAGTCCAATAAACCTCTTTCTTTCATAAATTGCCCAGTCTTGGGCATGTATTTATCAACAGCATGAAAATGGACTAATACATCATTGATGACTGCAACCATCCCAAGCCTCAGATCTCACATCTCAGACATCTACAGAAACTCCAGCAAAACTCTGATTGGCCCATTCTTGAGGGATAGGATGCACTGATTGCCTGAGCCTAAGTCAGGTTTCTCACCTTTCTTGTTCTGGGATGGAATCAGCCACATGCTGAGAGTAGTTCCTGTGAATCAATATTATAGCATGCTTGCTACAAGAAAGGGGAGTGGGTGGTGGGCAGCCAACCCAACAATGTCCACTATGGTTTAGGGACAGAGTAAATAACAAGTGTCATGGAAAATCCTAGAGAAGGATATTTGAATGGTCCATCCCACTGGTATCTTTTTTTGGTTCTTTATCCTTTTAAAATTTGATGAGCCTTTCTTCATAAAAATATATACACATATTTTCAGGTATAATTTGCATAGACTTCTGTGGACCCCAGGTCTAAAAAACAAAACAAAACAAAAAACCCAATGTAGATTCTTCTAAAGTTTTTAATATAAAAGCAAAAGTTTAGCACATTTGGTACTTCTGAATTTAGTATGTTTTTTTGCTTTTAAGATCCTGTGTTGACTTTTTGAAACTTTCTCTGAAAATTTTAGGATGATTATCTTAAAACATTACAAACTATCCATAATCTATGTATTGCTAATGCTAATAATAACATGATAAGCCAATTCTCTGTTCTAGGAAATTAGGGCCAGAAAGAACCTTTAATGGTCTAAGTTCTTATTTCAAAACAAGCTATGAGTTAAGCTGGAGGAAAGGCCTCTCTTTTACATAATAGCTTATCTCTTCCTGTCCTGTTAAAAAGAAGGTTTTATATAAGCATAAGTAATTTGGGGTCTGTTTTGAGCTCATGCAAGAGAACCTATAGCAGGTCCCTGTTCAGTCAAGGGCCGAGAAGCCTTTAAAATCTGCCAGTGTAGCCTTGTAATATAGTTTGAAGTCAGGTAGCGTGATGTCTCCAGCTTTGTTCTTTTTGCTTAGGATTGTCTTGGCAATGCGGGCTCTTTTTTGATTCCATATGAAATTTAATGTAGTTTTTTCCAATTCTGTGAAGAAAGTCATTGGTAGCTTGATGGAAATGGCATTGAATCTATAAATTACCTTGGGCAGTATGGCCATTTTCACGACATTGATTCTTCCTCCAAGGCTACAGTAACCAAAACAGCATGGTACTGGTACCAAAACAGAGATATAGACCAATGAAACAGAACAGAGCCCTCAGAAATAACAGAGCCCTCAGAAATAACACCACACATCTACAACCATCTTTGACAAACCTGACAAAAACAAGAAATGGGGAAAGGATTCCCTATTTAATAAATGGTGCTGGGAAAACTGGCTAGCCATATGTAGAAAGCTGAAATTGGATCCCTTCCTTATACCTTATATAAAAATTAATTCAAGATGGATTAAAGACTTAAATGTTAGACCTAAAACCATAAAAACCCTAGAAGAAAACCTAGGCAATACCATTCAGGACATAGGCATGGGCAAGGACTTCATGACTAAAACACCAAAAGCAATGGCAACAAAAGCCAAAATAGACAAATGGGATCTAATTAAACTAAAGAGGTTCTGCACAGCAAAAGAAACTACCATCAGAGTGAACAGCCAACCTACTGAATGGGAGAAAGTTTTTGCAATCTACTCATCTGACAAAGGGCTAATACCCAGAATCTACAAAGAACTTAAACAAATTTACAAGAAAATAACAACTCCATCAAAAAGTGGGCAAAGGATATGAACAGACACTTCTCAAAAGAAGACATCTATGCAGCCAACAGACACATGAAAAAATGCTCATCATCACTGGTCATCAGAGAAATGCAAATCAAAACCACAATGAGATACCATCTCACACCAGTTAGAATGGCAATCATTAAAAAGTCAGGAAACAACAGGTGCTGGAGAGGATGTGGAGAAATAGGAATGCTTTTACACTGTTGGTGGGAGTGTAAACTAGGTCAACCATTGTGGAAGAGAGTGTGGCAATTCCTCAAGGATCTAGAACTAGAAATACCATTTGACCCAGCAATCCTATTACTGGGTATATACCCAAAGGATTATAAATCATGCTACTCTAAAGACACATGCACACATGTATGTTTATTGTGGCACTATTCACAATAGCAAAGACTTGGAACCAACCCAAATGTCCATCAGTGATAGACTGGATTAAGAAAATATGGCATATATACACCATGGAATACTATACAGCCATAAAAAGGATGAGTTCATGTCCTTTGTAGGGACGTGGATGAAGCTGGAAACCATCATTCTGAGCAAACTATCACATGGACAGAAAACCAAACACCGCATGTTCTCACTCATAGGTGGGAATTGAACCATGAGAACACTTGAACACAGGGTGGGGAACATCACACACTGGGGCCTGTCGTCGGGTGGAGGGAGGCGGGAGGGATAGCATTAGGAGAAATACCTAATATAAATGACAAGTTAATGGGTGCAGCAAACCAACATGGCACATGTATACATATGTAACAAAACTGCACGTTGGGCACATGTGCCCTAGAACTTAAAGTATAATAAAAAAATATAGTCTCATATATATAATATATATAATAAACATATAATAAAAATATAGGAGAAAGTAGAAAAAAATAAAATCTGCCGATCCATAGTATTCTCATCAGACTTCTCTGCTAGATGGTTTATGAGTGCAAACAATGGACACTAAAAGTTGTTTGCTCTTCAGGTGGAGAATTTGTCCAGGAAACTTATTGTTGACACTTGTAATGAGAAAACAGGCGGTGCAATAATCATTGAAGTGAATAGAGATTTGTTTTCCTTTTTAAAGATGAGGCAATTACTATCTAACTCCATTCTAATGGGTTTGTTCCTGTGGATTGATTAGGAAAAACAGGCTGGCAAGGCTCAGTGCTTTTCAGTCAGAACAGACTTTAAGCCATCCTCGTGGTGTCAGCCAGGCCAACTGTATGAGGCCACAAGGGTGCACCTGACCTAGTAAGGACAAAGTCCTTAGATCAGTGAAAAAGAGAAACATCTATGTGTATGTATAATACACATACACATAGCTTCATTTATGGAGAAAAATCAGAACAAAACAACCAAAAAAATGCAGAGAGTCTATGAAATATTATTTATAAGATTCTGTGGTAGTGTTTTACTTTGGAAAAGCTGTGTAACTAACGTGACAGAAAACTATTCTTTAAAATAAGTATAATCTGCCTCTTAGGGGTTTTTTGTTTTGTTTTGTTTTTGTAAGGGCAAATGCCATTCTTTGGGTTTAATCGCTTGATTTTTTTTTTCTTCCTGTAGGACCCATGCCCCCTTTGTGATGAAGCCAAGGAAGTACTCAAGCCGTATAAAAACAGGGTAATATAATACAGTGTGGCTTTTATGTATGTGGAATGAATATTAGATGTGGTATAAAGTATCTGCCTGGATCCTTTCTTTAGGAAAAGAGATTAAATGATTTTTCATTTAAATTTTCTTTCTATTCTTCAGAGAGAGTTTAGTGCTTATTACCATAAAACTCATTACACCTAAGTACTTTTCTCTGAGCAGTACTGGTTTTCTTACTCTGGCTCTTAATGAGTCAAAGTTAACTAGCAGGTGCAGTATTCGTGTTTTCTTTAAACTTTTGCCTCATTCCTTTTATCTTGTTTTGCAGTTTGCACCAATGTGTTTTCATGTAACATACACCTTTCCAGTTCCTATAACCAAAACATTTCTGTCCTAATTCTCAGTCAGCTTCCCGACTGAGACATGTTTTATTTCATTGGAACTGAGTACTGTCCTGATGCGGAATGTAACAAGGGTAACAGAAAAGCAGCAAGATCAGGAAGTAGAAAATATAATGAAACCAGTCAAGTTTTGGAAATCAGGGATGTTAGATGACTGTGGACCTAAAAAAGCAACTATAAGGAAAACAGCATAAGAAATGGTCTGGGGATCCGTTTATCACTGCAGTTGTTACATCACCCCATGGTCTCTAAACTACAGAGCTTTAGTCTGTCTCTGTTTCAGTTCATTTTACAGGAGGTAAACATCACACTTCCAGAAAACTCTGTCTGGTATGAAAGGTATAAATTTGACATTCCTGTCTTTCACTTGAATGGCCAGTTTCTGATGATGCATCGAGTAAACACCTCAAAACTTGAAAAACAGCTCCTGAAACTTGAGCAGCAAAGTACTGGAGGCTGACTTATGTCCTCATGATTTTCCACCCTCTCCTCCCATAAAGCATCTTCCTAAGGAAATGACCATGGCCTGATACTCATTTTGTCACTTGTACAAAACCCTAAGGATGTTCTGAATTCAGTGGTGCCAAATAAATGTTGACATTCCTCTTTTGGTTGATGGACATATCAGTGTGGGAACTATTTGCCTAATGGCATTTTATGAAATAAGAAGAGCATACTGGCAGGGAGGGAGATGATGGAGGGAGAGAGAAGTCCATTTGTCTTATTTATCCTTTTTGTATTAATAGAGAAGCACTTCACATTCACTGGGCAATGCCATTTATAGGAAGAAGGTTCTGCATTCCTGCTGCTGCCCTGGAGGGCTTAACTTTTTAATGAAAGAATAAATGCTCTTCCACTCAGTAGATAAAGTGAAATGTGAATTGTTAATAACTGTGCACAGTCAATAAAGGGATGTTTTAAGGAATACATCTGCATGAAGCCTATTCAGTGGGATTTAATAATACCTGTTTAAAATTAGAGTTCATTTTTGTTGAGTAGAAGAGAATTATTATCCTAGCCAAAAAGGCATCATTTGAGAAAAACAAAAGAAAGACTTAAACCCCTAAAATTTATATAAAAATCTCAACATTCTCTACACAGTTATTAAATTGATTTGTAATATTTGAGGACTGCCTTTCGTAGTTATTCAGTTACTATCCATTGAGTTAATTTAACTTTTTTTTTTTTTTTTTTTTTTTTGAGACGGAGTCTCGCTCTGTCGCCCAGGCTGGAGTGCAGTGGCGCAATCTCGGCTCACTGCAAGCTCCGCCTCCCGGGTTCACGCCATTCTCCTTCCTCAGCCTCCCGAGTAGCTGGGACTACAGGCGCCCGCCCCTGCGCCCGGCTAATTTTTTCTATTTTTAGTAGAGACGGGGTTTCACCGTGGTCTCGATCTCCTGACCTTGTGATCCGCCCACCTTGGCCTCCCAAAGTGCTGGGATTACAGGCGTGAGCCACCATGCCCGGCCAATTTAACTTATTTTAAGACAGTAGGTTTTTTAAAATCAAATTTTAATATCTTGGAAAAAATCACTCATAAATATGTCATCTAAAGATAAAATACTCTTTGCCATTCTATGTAAAGAGTAGAAATGTATTTGCATACCCTTATTTATATTTAGTCAGATTAAGCCAGTGTAGAAATGGATTCACTTGAAAACAAAACTGCCTTTCCTCTTAAAATCTTACCACTGCAATTCCATGTGTAATGAAATTATTTTTTAAACTATTTGAATGAATTTGGATACTGTGAGTCACTAGATTTTAATTTGATCAGGATGATTCAGTCTTAATATAGAATATTAGAGCTAGCTGACCTTAGACATTATCTAGTCCCACTCTCCCATTTTATATATGAGGAGGAATCTGAATTCAGAGAATATCAGGGACTTAACCCAAGGTCACACAGCCAGTCAGTTGGCAGGCCAGGTCCTGCCCCACAGCCCCAGATTTCCAGTACTCCGTGGACTCATTGCAGGGGGCTCCTGTTATCTCACATACAGTATCCCCAACCATTCTGGATTCAACACAAATCTGGAAGCAACTGAAAAGGCCTTTTAAGCTGAGTACAGTGGTACATGCCTGTAGTCCCATCTACTTGAGAGGCTGAGGCAGAAGAGCCCGGAAGTTTGAGTCACTATGGGCAACATAGTAAGACCATGTCTCTTAAAAAAAAAAAAAAAGAAAAAGAAAAGAACAAAATCTTAGCAATTGAATAGCAGTGTTTATAATTTACAAATTTCTAGAACATTTATTTGACACAAATATTGAACCCTGGGGTAGACAGAATTCTAGGATGACCCCAGTGATCCCCACTCTTGGATAATTCCCTGTCCCTTTGAGTGTGGGTGGAAATATCACTGCTGTGATGATGTTACATTATATGGCAAAAGGCAAATTATCCTGGGTGGGCCTGACCTAACTGGGTGAGCCCTTTAAAAGCAGAGAATTCTCTCTGCTTAGTTATAAAGAGGAAAGTAGAGAGATGTACTCTAGCAAGCCGGGAAGAAAGCAAGCATTCTGTGAATTGCCTAGTGGAACCACATGGCAAGAAACTGGGTAGCCTCTGGGAACTGAGTAGTTCTCAGCCAAAAACTAGCAGAAAGATGGGGACATCAGTCCTATAGCTTCAAGGAAATGAATTCTGCCAATAATCAGTAAGCTTAGAAGAGGATCCACAACGACAGATGAGAACTGCAGCCTTGACCAACATCTTGATTTCAGCTCAGTGAGACTCTAATCCAAGAATCCAGCCACACCAAGTCTAGACTTCTGGTTTACAGAAACTGAAAGACAATAAATATGTATTGTTTTAAACTGCTAAATGTATGATAATTTGTTACATAGCAGTAGAGAATACAAGTCCTTACAGCATTGAAGCACAGTAGTAGGTAGTGGGAGTACAGAAATGAATAAATCATATTCCTTGTCTTTGAGATACTATCTGTTAAGGAGCAAGGAGAGACAAGTGAATAAATCATAGCATAGTGCAATGAGGGCTGGAACTGACATGTGTCAAATGGTACCAGGTGGGGAAAGTAGCAGGAATGATTCACAGAAAATTAGACTTAAGCTAGGTCTTGATGGCTGAATAGAAGCAATGGATGGGGATTGGGAGTGAGGAGGGTATTCTATAAGGAAACAGTATATGTAAAAATATGAGGGTGTGGAAGGACACAGCATATTCAGGAAATGCCAGGTGGCTTTGTGTGGCTGGAGTAAAGGGGAGGAGAGTGAAGGAGATGAGACTGGCAAGGTAGATTGGGATCCATATTGTGAAGGCCTTAGCTAATGTGCTTTTGCCCCAGCAGCAGTAGCCTCCCATGCTTTCTGCCTTTATCCATAGTCAGTCCTTCTGGCTCCTGACTACTCAGGGATGTCTGACCTCCCTGCCCCAGCCTGTTGCAGTCCTTCTTCCTGTCCTTAAGCCTGCTGAGCTCAACAGTCCCTTCTAGTAGTCCTGCAGGACAATCCCACTCTCAATACAACCAGGGATGCCACAGACAAGGTCCTCCACTTGTGTGTCTGGGTGTTCTGTGTACATTCCTGCCTTCTCCAGGCAGGGTGAGATTTGTGTAGCCCCTAGGTCCTAGGTTGCTGATCCTTCTCCTAGACCACCAGTTGGAAAGGTTCCAAGAGTTTCTTTCAGTGTCTGCTCAACTAAGATGGAGACAATCCATTGGTTTCCTTCAGAAAGCATGGCTGGCCAGAAAGCCTAGAGACATTTGTTCTCTTGGAGCCCTTCTTACCTGAGTATAACCACGTGGTTATGGTTTGCAGGAAGTGCAGAGACTAAAGGTGAAACAGGTTTTCAACAACAAATTTCTGATACTAGAATTTCAAACAAGAATCCCATGATATAGGATGCTCAAACTAAAGTATTGGCTGAGGCACGAAGAAATAATAGATGCTACATTTCAAGGAAATACTAGATCACGTGGAGGATTATTATGAACCTGGGAGAGAGGATCTTTGGAGGAGTTTTTTAAAAATAAGATGTCCTCTCACTTATTTTCTACCAAAGTAGAAAGGTTGGGAGTCACTTCATATCAAGAGGGAGGGGCATAAGTTGGACTCACTGGAAAGCGAATGTATGTCCTTGGGTAAGAAGAACATAGTGGTCTAATTCTCCTGGGAAATCAGGCAAGAGATAGTTTAGCAAGCAGCTTTGGCTGTACAGTGAAGGCAGCTGATGCTGTTTTTCTGAGTTTGTCCCAGGGAAGTAAGTGTGTGTGTGTGTGTGTGTGTGTGTGTGTGTCTGTGTGTGTGTGTCCTCGTGGACCAAATATGAACCAAATGTGAGAGGGGACTGGTATGAGGGCACCTTCGTTGCAGGCACACCTCAGAAGGGGAGACCCAGAGGGGAACACTGGGTTCCTAGGGGCTGAGGGGTCTGCTTGAATGGAGAGCCCGTTTGCCCGAATCAGGGAACTGCAGGCAAGACATCACCAGTAATGGGTACAGTCTCCCAAGAAACCACAACAGCCTATGCCAAGTGTGGTCTGCTTTAACTATTTATCGGGTCCAGAAAGTAGGCCAGTGTACAACTCCACCACTGAAATAAGAACATTCTCACCCGTCTCCACTTTTTCCTTCTCCCATAGCAACTCTAGAAGGATCAGAAGCTGCCAAGAACAAGGAGAGGAAGACGCTCCCCTTCCTCAGCTTCCCACCCCAACATGGCTTCTTAGTCAGGGAAAAGATACAACTTAACTTTAAACCACGTCTTAAGTTTTGATTATGACATTAGGTGCACCAAAAACAATTTCAAGTGACTATGGGGCATTCTATTGCCTGAGAATGTTCAAGAGTCCCGAAATGACCTGTTGTTTTTATCCTAAACAGCGAAAAATTCATCCACCAAATATATAGGGATAGAGGGAGACAGAAAGATGCTTTCTGAAGGTATCTCATATTTAGAGTATTAGTTACATATACCTAATGTTGGTTTTAACCTATAGATCTTCAATAAACTTACTCATCAATTCTTATTTCAGAGTGGAATATGGTCATGTGACTAAGTATCCTGGAGATCTTCAGCAAACCCATGGGTCCCAACAGTTGGCAAAATGAAAGGTAGATATCTAGAAATATGGCATCTAAAAGGTGGTTTGATTATCCCACTGGCGAGTATCAGTTTTATGTCACCTATTACTGTGATTTTCATGTGATGTTTGTAGCAGCAATTACTTTTCCTTTCCGAAATTATGTTTGCAAGGATCAATTTGTTCCTTTTATATGAAGATTAATTTTGATATAAGAAGCTCCTCATTCACCTCCAAAGGAAAAAGTGATACAACCTTCCTTTTTTTCCCCCCGCTTCAACCTAATGCCTTATGAAGAAGTGGAATAGTTTGGAACTTCATATTTCTGCTCTAGAATAGTGCCTCTTTCTTCCACATGTCTCCTCATAACATTATGAGCTTACTGGAACACATAGCTCTTTGGCCAGTTTATTGCAGGAAACAAGGGCATACTCAGACTGGGGTTTTTTAAATAATGCAGCAATCTCATGGACATCTGACAGTAGGAATCACAATACAGCCAGGCTTCAGAAGTCCAATTAAAGAACCACCCAAAACTGAAACATTACCCTTCTCACAGTGCCTTGGCTTATTTTCTTCCCCGGTTTCTCCTGGCTCACAGCTCCCCTGCTTACACACAGTATCTGCTTCCTCATAGCTGCAGCCTGCTCATGCCCATCATTACTGCTGACCTTTCTGTTCAGCAATATAGCACCCTGAGCCTCTCAGGCTTCTCTATTCTGAAATCCTAAAAGAGGAATTTTTCTCAGCTTATATTTTACAACCAGGCACCCATGACCTAAGTTGGCTGACCAAATCTATATAAGGAGCCACCTTTAGGACAGAAGCCCATCCCTGGGCCAATTGGCTATGGAAGCAGTATGCAAATCACAGTCACTGC